CAGAACTTGTTGAACTGCTAACAGTTTTAACCAGTATACTGAATGATTAAGACATGGAGTTATAGTCCAGCAATACCTGGAGGGCCACATAATTCCCATTCCTGATTCAGGTCATCAGTTGGTGACATTTTTACAATTGGCAAAAATGGCACACTTCTGATTGGTGGGGGTGGAAGATTAAATTTGCTCTTGTGAACTTGCTGACCGAAAGGTCACAGGTTTGAATTTGGGGAGTGGGGTGAGCTCCTGTTGTTAGCCTTAGCTTTTGCCAACCTAGCAGTTTGAAAACATACAAATGTGAGTAGGTCAATAGGTACCACTCCATCAGGAAGGTAACGGTGCTCCATGCAGTCATGCTGACCACATGTCCTTGGAGGTGTCTATGGCAACGCCGGCTCTTAGGCTTAGAAATGTAGATGAACTCCAGAGTCGGACACGGCTCGACTTAATGTCAGGAGAAAACCTTTATCCTTTACCTAGGCTATTTTATTTCCAGTATACTATGTAATAAAAAAGGAAAATGTTGAAAGGTGATCTGTCCTCTTACTTAGGAATGGCAGTCCTACCTGTGAGCAATGTATATTGAATAAAATGGGATTATTTCAGGGACAAAATGGATAGCGTTATACTGCTACTTTTCTGAATGGTATGTTCTCTTGTTTTCAGGCTAGCCTGAGAGGTTTTGATAATATGTATTTAAATGTAATTGACTAGCCCATTAATCTGCAAAAAGGCAGATGATTCATCAACTGGGAATTATTTAATCAGTTGACAGCTCTTGTCACTACACACACATCTCCTGCATAAGGAAATTACCACACAGATGTGTTTCCTTGCACCCTTCGTGGGCGGTTCGTAATTGAGTTTCCTCATAGGAGAGGTGAGCTGTGGTCGGGTAGGGGGAGACGACGAGAGAGTGGGTTTGGTTTGGGGAGCAATGATCTAATTTTCCTACCTTGCTGAATTCCTCAATTGATTTTGGCTGAAAATATAGTGCCATTGATCCAGGTAGTAAAATCTCTCATGGAAATTGGTCTGCGGCCTCGCTCTCCCCTTTACAAGGGCAAGGTTCCTGTGCAATGAAATTGGCAAGGCGCCTTAATTGGCATTTTAAATCTTTTCTGCTTAGGGGTCTCCTGTGCCTCTCTGGACATGTTTCCTCTTTCAAAGATGGAAGAGATCTATTAAATCAAAGAATGAGATGAAACCAAAAGGTCAGCCAGCCTCCAATAGTCTTAAAGTAATCTCAAGTTTGGGGCAGATATCCTGATGAATTATGATCAAGTTTTTTTGTTGGGGGATGTTGATGATGGGTGAGACTTTGTAGCTGTTTTTAACAATTCTTGACAAACTCGAATGGTCATTATTGAGGCATCACTTCTTCAGGATCTCAAAAATATACATTTAACATCTTAAGTAGAATACAGGCTACTTCTTTATTTACATCTGTGTATCTTTACATATCTTCCAACATTTTTCACTGAGGAAAACTAGAACACACATGGCCAAGCAACATTGGAGTAGTATCCAAATGGCAGAAATTATTAATGGGGAAGAACCTATGAGATGGGAGAGGCTGCATCAGTTTGTTTTTGTCTAAGCGTACTGGAAAGGGAAAGAGTCTGCTTCTTCTCTTTTCTTCACCTGCTGAATAATGCGGTGCAGACTTTGAATTCAGTCTGTAAGCTGAGGACCAAGTGAGAAAGTTGGAGAAGGAGAACCTTAAACCCACTGGCAAAGTGGGATGACAGGGAATTGGGACTGTCTTTCCGAATTATGACAATTGGGAGATCTGTGTTTGATGGCCAAACATGAAATGACAACCCAAAAACATAGAACTGAATTAAACAAGGGCTACTTTATTTGAACCTTTTAACTGAGTTATGCCTAGAGATGAGTAAAAGGGGGTAGCAACCTGATGTAGGTCTTAGCTGAGGCCACATGCCAACCTGTTCTTACCCTCTCAGCCTCCCTTAAGCAAAACATCTGACCTTGAGGCCAATCCAATGCTATACGTTGCTTACCCCATCCTGGAAGCCAAACGTAGGACCCTCTCTCCCAAGTCACAGGACATTATAAGAGAGATAAACTCTCCAGATTTGCTGTGAAAAGACACTTTCAATATCTGAGAAGACACACTAATGACATATTAATTGGTGGGGGGGGGGAGTTTGTGACTTTGGGGATCAAATAGCCTTGGGAAAGCACATGTTAAGGAAGCTACATTTCTGATAGATTGAGTATAGGGTCTGCTGACTACAGCTTCATGATTTAGGATGACTCTATTCTGCAAATTTAATGCCATTTGACACCACTTTAACTCTTACAGCTCAATACTATGGCATCATGGGAATTGTAGTTTGCTGAGGCACCTGCTTTCTTTGTCAGAGAAGACTCTGTACAATTATCCCACACAGCTTGCCCCCATTTCTAAACATTTCAGAAAATTAAGGAAATGAAGTTAAATGAAGCCCACCACAGGGTGCAGGGAGAATTCCCGCCTTGTGTTTGTCATGCTTCGATAGAGAAATATTTTTAAAATGTGAAGGCTTCTTAGCTCATGATTCAAGTGGAAATGGGACAAAGCAAAATAATGGGATCCGTCAAATTTGCCCATGTTGAATCACTCCAGTGACATGGAGTAATGGGCATTGCTATAGGCAGTCTACCAAGCATTGACATTTTCCTTCCTAAAACCTGCTTCTTCAGCCTGGCATGGTAATTTTTTAAAATTAATTTCATCATAAAAATAATGACATCACCACTTTGGTTTTATTGTCATTTCTCTTTCGTAGTAATCTTGGTTTTTGAAATTACAGTATAGGTAGGCTTTTAACGTTGTTTTAGACTTCTGCAACTGAGAGTAATGAGATTGGGAGGAAAGTCAAGGAGCTCCAAAATGGTGTCTGGGTTAAGAACACTCCCTTGGGTCTATTTGAGAGTAGTGGGATTGAAGGGGAAAGTCAATTATCCCAATAATATTTTCCCCAAGGTTTTCATGTGATAAATCTGAAAATGAATGAGTTCGAAAGAAAAGGCAACAAAGAACAAAATGTGATAAGATCTGAGAAATGATACATTTTGCTTTCAAATGCAATGGAACGTAATGTCATGGTAATATGACCCTTCCCACCCCCTCCCCGGGATGAGTTCTTAAAACTACAACTTCCACGAATCCATAACAATGAGCAATGGCAGTTGAATTGGTGTCATATTGCATTAATTCAACAATGTAGTAGATGCACCCTAAGAGAAAGAGTGCAGGGAGAAGATGAACGCGAGCATATTGGATCTAACATATAAGTCTATAGGTAAGAAAGAAACAGTTAACAGATTTTCCCCCAGGAAACCCTCACTAGCTGTCTCTTTCTCTATTGCCCCCCGTAGGTACATAAATGCTTGTGTAGGCATAGCTGCACATTTTCTCCACCTCTGAATTACTATGTTTTTCTGATCTATCTTTGAGCAAAAGAGCACACCAACATGGCGGTTTGCATTAATGGTGTGTCTAGGGACAAGCAGTGCCTCAATCTGAGTCTTTCTTTGTTGTTTAAACACGACATGATTGTTATGCTTCTTTCCCTTCCCCACTTGTGATGGGAAAGAATTTCATTGGAAGTCAAGGTTTTAATGAAGTTTTCTGTACTGAATCTCCCATGACTCCTTGCAAAGCAAAACACACTGTGCCTTAGAAATGTACGTGCTGGTGAGGTTTGCAAAACAATTTGGAGAAATAAAATAAACAGAAAATCGTACAGGCATGGTAAAATGGCTAAAGTGCATAATCCTCAAAAAAGTATGTAAACATGTTTTTAAAATGGGGGTAAATACAGTGAAACTTGTATACATTAGGGAAAATGCTTCGGGGAAATAAAAACAAATTATCAACACAGGACACAACAAGTTTGGCCAAGACAAATTTATGCAAATGTGGTTACACTGCAGCATTGTGTGATGCTGTCGCACAACCTATGGTTCAAATTGAACTTATGGCTAGACTCTCTCTCTTTGGAGAAAATTGCTTGGACATGCGATGTGGTAGGCATATTTTGAAGGTCAGAGAGCGCCATCCCAATTTTACTTCCAGCTTTTCCAGGAAGTTACAGTTCATTTTTTGCTTTCTCCATTTTGGGCAACTGGGAATGATGACGTTTCCCTTTCTGTTGTCTTTCAAACTATTGTTTGTGTGTGTCCTTTGACTGGAAATATTGAAATAGCAATCTATACCCCCAGAAGGAGGTTCTCAACCATTTTAATATGTTAGGGGTTTTTTTTTAGCCCCCAAATTCATTTTTAGGTTAACAATTGTCAAGAGCCTTTGTGTGGTTAGTTTGTTTCCCAAAAAGCAAACAAGACCCCTTAAAGGACCAGATGTGGCCTGTAGGAGATGAGCCATTTTAGGGGCATTTTTGTGTCATTTTCTGTTCCCAAATAGCTTGTCTGAAATGCTTAACTCAGCTTGACTGTGATGATAGAGGCGTACTCATCACCGTTAATAGATGCTGATTGACCGATCTTCCATAATTTTGTTTAATTCCCCCTTTTAAATTTCTATTTAAACTAGAGGCTGGAATCTCATCTTGAAGCAATGAACTCTGTCAATTAATATGCATTGTAACAAGGAGTTTTCTTTTTTGTCTGCCCCGAATCTTTTTCTTATTATATGGGACCATCAGAAACCCGAACATGCATGCACACCATACTATTTGTTTTAGAATTGAATTATTTCCCTAAAGATAACTTGGAGTATGTTCTGTGAAGAGGATAAGAAGTGTGTCAGGATCTTAATTAAGAATAATCCAAGATTGGTGTCTGCTACCGGGACGATGGTAAATAGAGATACCACATCGGAGCTGATCAGTTTGTCGTTGGTATTTAGCTTGAGATTGCTGATTTTTTCTATGAAGTGGGCTGAGTCCTTGATGGTCCCGGTAGCAGACACCATGGCACTCATCAACCAGATGTTCCCAGAAGACATCACGGCTCTGTTTCACCATTGCCTCACCACCGGTTACTTTCAGTGGGACAATGAATTCTACGAACAGAAAGATGGAGTAGCTATGGGGAGCCCTCTCAGCCCGGTCATAGCTAACTTCTACATGGAACACTTTGAAAAACAAGCCCTGGAGACATCAACCAAAAAGCCCATTATATGGTTCAGATATGTGGATGACACCTTCACCATTTGGAGCCATGGAGAAGAAGAACTCAACAGGTTCCTGGACCATCTTAACAGCATCCACCCAAACATCCAATTCACCATGGAAAAAGAAAATGAAGGAAGACTGCCTTTTCTAGATGTCCTAGTCATCCGCAAACCAGATCAACAATTGGGTCACACTGTTTACAGAAAACCCACACACACAGATAGATATCTACATAAAAACTCCAACCATCACCCAAGTCAAAAAAGAAGCACCATTAAAGCCTTGGCAGACCGTGCAAAAAGAATCTGCGAACCCCACCTCCTCCAAGATGAACTGAACCACCTAACTGGGCTCTCCAGGCCAATGGATACTCCACCTCAGACATCAGAAGAGCTGCAAGACCAAGAACAAGCCATGAGAGTAAAGATGAAGATCCACCCAGAGGAAAAGTGTTCCTGCCATACATCAAGGGAACCACTGACCGCATAGGGAAGCTGATGAGCAAACACAACATACAAACAATCTACAAACCCACCAAGAAAATCCAACAAATGCTACGTTCAGCAAAGGACAAGAGGGATCCTCTCACCTCTGCAGGAGTCTACCGTATACCATGCAGCTGTGGACAAGTCTACATAGGGACTACCAAACGCAGCGCCCAAACACGAATCAAGGAACATGAAAGGCACTGCAGACTACTTCAACCAGAGAAGTCAGCCATAGCAGAGCACCTGATGAACCAACCTGGACACAGCATATTATTTGAGAACACAGAAATGCTGGACCACTCTCACAACCACCATGTCAGACTACACAGGGAAGCCATTGAAATCCACAAGCATGTGGACAATTTCAACAGAAAGGAAGAGACCATGAAAATGAACAAAATCTGGCTACCAGTATAAAAAAACTCTAAAATTACAACAGCAAAACAGCAGAGAGGAAACAACCAGGCACATCTTAACACCTCTCAACAAAAGATTTTCCCAGGCTCAGCCAGGCCTTCAAATGCTAATGAAGGTGGTCAGTTGAAACATTCACACCTAGCTCTAGCAGAGAAGAGCTCTTTGCCCCACCCCAGCCATTCCACAGATATATAAACCCATTGTCCTATTTCCAACAGACCTCACTACCTCTGAGGATGCTTGCCATAGATGCAGGCGAAACGTCAGGAGAAATGCCTCTAGAACATGGCCATATAGCCCAAAAAAACCCACAAGAACCTAGTGATTCCAGCCATGAAAGCCTTCGACAATACATTGTCAGCACTCTGTTATCATGAGTTGGGTTCTTCATTAAAGGAATGTGTCACAGATGGCAAAGAAAAATGTTCACAAGTTTTGCTGTCTCCTCTACAATATACAGGCACGGAAGGAGGTGCAATTGTCTGAAAGTACCTTGCTTGCACACAATGCCACCTATGGGCCCAGTTTACCTCTGCAGTTCCCAGCCATTGTGTTCATCCTTCCTTCTATGCTGGCGAAAGAAGGGCATTGTGTTGCCTCCCCAATCCCCATAATTAATAATGGAACTGTTACCAGAGACAACCAGACTTTGCAAGATAGGAACTATTTTGGATATGTTCGAACAATGTTCTGAATGCTTTTGAACTGGATCACATTCTTTATTTTCCATTAATTCCATTAAATATTTTATTTCCAAAAACAACAATAGGAAATATTTGTGCTCCATTTATGAACACGCATGACTTTACAAGCCAGTAGTTGGCAGATATATATGTGTGCATAGGCATACACACAGCACACACACACAGCTACCTCCTTGGCTGGCTAGTGAGAGCTGTAGCCCATGACATCTAGAAAGCACCAGATTAATGGAAACTGCTACAGAGGGCTGTAGTTTGTTTTTGTTTTTTTGCAATGTGTTCTTTTTTCTTTCTTTCTTTAGTAAGAAGTGGCTTAAGTTGTGACTACAGCTGTGAGAATGGGATGCTCAAGACTGCCTCATCTATTTTCATATGTAAACTATTAGAAGGTCCACTGACCACTTTGCTCCTAAGGCAAAACCACTGCCTCATCTCAGGAGAACAAATTCACAAGAAGGGAAATCTATGGTTAGAGAGGGGTTTTTCTTAATGTGATTCTGTAGATGAACTTGACATACTGGACAGGTTTGTAAGCATAAACTGAATTAGCAAGAATTTTATATTTAATGTAAAAATAAATTGAACCAAAGACCATTATTTTCTTACCTCTAGCTTTGTTAGTGGACTCCAAATTCAAAAACTGTGGGGCGGAAATCACCAGAGAAAGAATCATGCATTATTCATATTATACTATTTATGTAAATGATATTGTATTATTTGCACTAAGAACTGAGTCAAATTTGATTTGTTAAATATAAAGTCCTATGCAGCTTCAACAGAAGTGATAGCTTATTTGAAGTTTCTATATCCCTTACTGTGTTAAACAGTCTATACACCTTTTAATAATTCAGAGGAAGAATGAGTGGAAGTCAAAAGGTGCTGGTGAGTGATCTGTTGGTATAGAAGAGGCTGGAAGTCACTAGGATCAGTAGACGGAGCCTCAATGGGTCATCTGCTTTGACTAAAGGCCAGTCGTAGTGCTAGTTCATGGATTCTGAGAACTGTGATCTAGAAATAACTTTTCAAAGCTCTGGTGTTAGGTAAGGTACAGGATGATCTTTTGTGAGGTACTTCTGTACTATCTATTTGGGCTCATAATATTCCTCTATTTCTTCATTCCTGAAGACTCTATTGCATGCCAGTATTTTTCCACCTGTTGGTTCTCAACTTGTGGGTCCCCAAGTGTTTTGGCAAACAACTCCCAAAAATCCCAGCCAGTTTACCAGCTGTTAGGATTTCTGGGAGTTGAAAGCCAAAACATCTGGGGCCCACAGGTTGAGAGCCATACCATTATTTTTGTTTCGTTTTGTGATTACTATTTGAGGTTCATATACAGTTGGGGCACCCACCTTTCAGGCACACATTGGCTGTTCCCTCACTGGGCAAGGGCATTAAATGGTTCAGTCCTTGGCCCAGCATCCCTTCTTGCAAACCCAGAGTGGATTCCTCCCTCAGAAAATACCAATAGCCATCACTGTTACGTGAGAGTTCACAGTAAACTGTGTCTTATGAATAGAAGGTGACTCTTGTCAGTCTCTCAGTCCCTCCCTCTCTCCAATGTAATTTCAATCTAATAATTGCCATGGCCCTTCAAATGGGATCAGATCACTACAATTGCATGATGTGAAAGGGCCCCTAGTAACTGGATTACATATGATGTAGTGCTGTTCACTGTAATCAATAAAATTGCAGTAGTTTCCTCCAATAATGAGTTGTGCATAGTTATTTCCCTTCCCTGCCTTGTATTTTCTATTTCTGTTGGCTATTATGAGCACAAATTAATATCGGGTGTTTGGAGGGTATAGCCAATCTCAGGGTGTTGCTGTTTGTGTCACCCCCCCCCCCCCCCCAAAAAAAAAGAGTGGAAGTGTAAGAAAACCTTGTTGATTCTCTGGATTTAGAATGACTCTAAAACTGTCGTCTTTATGTGCGTCCATTGGTAAGTACCAAGTTTGTTCTAGGTGGCCTTGTACAAAACTGTAGTTTTGTCTGTGGGTATTCTGGAAGTGATAACTTGTTATATGACTTGGACAGAGGGTAAGAAAGAAACACACACACAAATACACACAGGGGTACTTTGAACTCATGGAGCTCTCCACATTAAATTTTAATCACCTACTGACCCTTGTCACAGAAAGCTTTTTGCCACATAGACTTTTCAGACATCACAGGCAGGAGCAAGCATTTTCCTTGGGCAAATGGCATAGTGGCACATTTGCTCAGATTAGCCATTCTGAATGATCTTACAGAGTGCAAGACTGGAAGGCCATTAAAGAGAGGGAGCACTTCACCTAAGTGCCTCTCCCCAGATTTCTAGGTCAGAGGGAGCACCTGAGATAAGTGGAATGAACATTGGTGGGGGGTTGCTACCTATTTTCAAAATCATGCACAGAAATTTAGTAACAGATTCTCAATGAATAGAGGTGGATATCAGAATCTATGGATGGTCAGATTCCATTATATAAAATGGCATAGAAAACTTGATTTGCTTTTTAGAATATATATATATTTGGAATATTTTCTAGATGTGGATAATTGAGTCTATTGGTGCAGAATTGGAAGGCTGACTGTGTTGCCCAGATTGTAGGATCTGGCTTGTAACTTGGCTCGATCCCTGATGAGATGCGGATAAGAAACAACAACAACAACAACAACAACAACAACAACAACAATAATCAGCATCATCTCAGTTGTGGCCCAAGAGCATCCAGAGAGGAACTAGGATCTAATGCCCTCCTTCTTTGCTTTCCCTTTTGGCTTGTCTCCTGCTGTAAGAAGAGGTCCTTGCAGATTCAAAATGTATGTCATGTCAAAAAGAACAAAAGAAAGAAAGGCAGGCAGGCAGGCAGGCAATGAATGGCTTGATTTCGGATGGGGATGGAATAATGGCTATGCTACTCAAATGCAATTAAAGGAAATGACTTGAACTCTCTCCAAGATGCTGATGGCACAGATGGCACTTGATTCCAAACCCAATAGAGTCAGAGAGAATGTCTGGAGCATACAACAGAGTCCCCCTAGCTTTGCCCATGGGAGGGGGAGAGCAGCTGAAAAATGCAGAGCTCACATACACAAATGTGTAGTAGGATACTCCGAGCTGTCCTTAGAGCAGTAGTAGCTGGCCTTCTGCCTGGCTCTGCAGTCAGTCTCTGCCTTTGAGCCCAATCTGCTGCATGGGATTCTATTTCTTTCTTTCTTTCTTTTTTCTTACATAATGTGGGGCAGGAAGCATTTACTTATTTATTTGTTTGCTTGTTTTATTACAAAAGGGTTCTTGCACAGCTGCTCACATACCAAAATATCCAAAACATATAATACTACAATTGGGTCTCCACCTTTTGCTAGGCTGGCCTGCCCATAGGCAGAATGAGGTCCCTGAGTAAGCCCTAGGGTCTATAACGACTGTCTCTTGCCTGTTCTTCCTGAACCCTCAGTATCTTCTGTTGGAGCTTAGAGCTGTGTATATAACATGGCCAATCTTAGTCTTCCAAACCAACTCCTTTGAGGTGTGCTCAGAAAACGCCTTCCAGCCTACTGTCAGTTGAAAGCATAGTCAAGTTCAAAATAGAGAAAAGGAAACTAGTTATTTGCATCTTCCTGCAAAATGTCTTAGAACAACTTGACCTTTGTGTTTTTTTATCTATCTATCTCCCTCCCTCTCTTTCACTGTATTTATTGTTTTTCCCCATTCCATGTCATTGCAGCATTTCCATTCTAATTTCAGTAATTGATTCCCACTGGAGAATGGTTCACAGCTCATTGTGTGCTATGGAGAAGGAGCGAGGGAAGGTCTTGAAAGTGGGTTTCAGAATTCCACCAAACAAATAGAGGAGGTTGCCTGCTGTATCTCTGAATGAGTGTTTTTTCTTCTTCTGGCTTTTGCTTACTTTCCAGGTACCTCCACTGAGGTTGGGTTATTCTTTTCCATTCCTGTATTGGGTGGTGTAATTGTGTAATTAATTGGAGCATTCCATAACTCCTTGTATAGAACATGCGATGATGTGCTTGTGATGGCACACCCGAGCCTATAGGAAAACTACCGTATATTCCGGCGTACTAGACGACTTTTTAGGTATCTAAAATCTTATAAAATTTTGGGGGTCGTCTAGTACCCCGGGTATAAAATTAAAATAACAAAAAAATTACTGTACTTGGCCGCCTTGGCCTCGGGCTCCCCTCCCCCTCCGCTCATGGTGGCCTGGCTCTTTAGGCCGCTCTTCTTTCTTGGCGGCTGGGCCCGTGGGCTGCTTCCTGTGTGGCCTAAGCAGTGCTCCTTCCTAG